GTGTGGATCAATGGGAGGACTAAAGTCTTCAGAAAACAAAACTTGTACTTTAAATGTGCCAAAGAGCAGTTCAAAAGAGAATGTAATTAGAACACAAATCTGTATATATAAATATGAGTGTGAATGTGTCAGGCATCTTAATACCTTTCTTCATCCGTTCATTCCCCAGACTCTAGATTTCCAAGTGGGGCCAGATAACTTGTGAGAAGAAGTGTGTCTAAGAAGGAAAGACAGTAATGGAAAGAAAGGAATGGTCTGAAAGGCTGCAGATGAAAAGGTAGAGGGCTGGGATGGACAGGCCAGCCCCCATGAATACGGACAGGCATTGAAGCCTCTCTGAGAAGAGGTGGCAATGTTGTCAATCAAGACCTCTTCTGTTGCTTGAATCCCCTTTCAAAACACCTGAAGTTGACTGGGAGTCATTGGGGTACCTGTGCCCATTTGGGGAGATCAATCTCACTGAGTGGGCAGGTATGGTTCATACACAGGTCCAACAGAGACACTGGTACCAGAACACGGCTAGCCCTGATATTATTCATGTACCCAGCAGCCCAAGAGATCACCCGGACATCTGCGATATTATACAATATTCTTTTCGTGTATGACTCCACCAGATGGGCAGCTAGTGGGGCAAACTTACTTTGGACCCTACACCAGTTCTTTGAAAAGTTGGATCCATTACTGGCTATAAGCAATAAATATAGATTTAAACAAAAGAAGACAATTAGACTGTCTCAGAGGCAATGCAGGAGCGGGATGAATTGGTTCACAGCTGCTTTTGAACACATCGCGGTTACAGAAGGCTAGGAGGCCCTCCACACATCTCACATGCAACTGTCTTCATCATTAAGATGAGGAACCAGGCCCCACTGAACTCTCCCAGCTGTTTACTGGGAGATTCAGCTTTGAAGGTTGATGAACTTTCTACATATTGCTTGGTTTCTCATTGTATTGAAGAATTTTTCTGCAAAAAAAAAAAAAAATCTATGCAAAAGGAAAAAAAAAAGAACATAGTAAAATCCCTTGAGAATTCAGGGAACAAGGCAGAAGGAGATGAAGGCCCGCTCACAACTGCCATGATCAAAAGCAGCATTTCCTGTGGGCATTCAGTAGAGGAAGGGGTGGTGGGTTTTAAGCCTTTCTTCTGACCTCTTCATAGCCTTTATATGCAGATTTGAATCATAACTCTCCAAGTAAAGGGAAGGCAGTAGGAAACATTAGCCAGATGTTGGCATCAATCCTTTATACCAAGGAACTCCCCAGTATAGCTCTCAGAAGTCAAGTACTGTTTTGTCTCCAGTTCTTCTAGCTTCATCTGTCTTCTGGGTGTCTTAGTCTCCTTTCCTTCCTTCCTTCCTTCCTTCCTTCCTTCCTTCCTTCCTTCCTTCCTTCCTTCCTTCCTTCCTTACTTCCTTTCCCTCCTCTTTCCCTCCCTCCTCCTCTCTCTTCCTTCATTCCTTCCCTTCTCTATTCTTTCTTTCTCTCTTTCCTTTTTTTCCTTTCTTGTTTGTTATTATTTGCTTGCTGTTTTTCACTCTATGGACTGTGTTTTAGGCAGAACTGTTCTAGAGGTAGAGATGGAGCTGGGCATTTGCTCATTTGGTAGAGTGATTGCCTACCATGCACAATGTCCTAGGTAAACTTAGCATGGTGGTGCTTTCTGTAATCCCAGAACTCAGGACATGTAGGAGGATCAGACATTCAAGGCCACCTTCAAGTACATAACAAAAGTCTGAGCTCCACAACAGTTGTTCTCAAGGGGGTGGGTAGCAGAGTCCTGGGCATGGCAGAGAAGCCACACTCTACTCTAGGCTTCTTAGAGTCCCAGGCTTTCTTCGGCCTGCCAGTGGCTTGCTGCATGTTATACCGTGTGAAGTTTCAGAACTTTGGTATGGCTTCTTACAGACATTTAAGACATGGGGTGGGCCAGCCCATCTGAAACCCTCATGGTTCTCTCAGGGGTGAAAGAGGTGTCTCCCAGAAAACACTAGTATATTACATTGTGCCAAGAAAATTGATAATTAGCAAAATACTAAAATGATTATTTGGTCCTTTTTGAACTTATATTTTATCTCAGGTTCTTTCAGACTCACCTATCTTTTGGAATTCTTAGTCTCTCTCTCTCTCTCTCTCTCTCTCTCTCTCTCCCTCCCTCCCTCCCTCCTTCTTTCTTCCTTTGTTACTTTTTTGTTCACTTGTCTGACTTTTGTTTTGTTTTGTCTGGAGACATCTCATGTAGCTCAGGCTGGCTTCAAAGTCGCCATCTGAATGAAGATGGCGCATTTCAGGCATGTGCCTTCATGCCTAGTAGGAATAGTTAGTGTTAACTGGAATGTTAAGAAGAGCTTATAGCCACCAAGAAGATGGGTCCTAGGTATGTCTACGGGGGATTATCTTGACTACCTTCACTGAAGTAAGGAGACCCACCCACTCTGGGTGAAACGATTCCCCAAGCGGAGGATCTGGACTGTACAAGAGTTGAGGCAGCAAGCTGAACATGAACACACACGTATTCACTGTTCTCATCTTTTGACTGTAGACGATGTGAATCATTGTCTCAAGTTCTTGCTGCTGTGACTTCTTCCACAGTGATGGACAGTAACCTTGAACTGTGATCTGAAATAAATCCTTTCCCACCACAGGTTGCCCTTGCCGGAATATTTTCTCACAGCAACAAAAAAGAAACCAAGATGCTCAGCCTCTCAGCTTCCTCAATACCCCAGACAAGGAAGCACCAACTGCTCCAGGACTCGGGTGAGGTGCCAGACCTCAGAGACCAGACAGAGTGTCTCAGTGTGGTCCAGTGAACCAGATAACACAGCCAGGAGTTCAGGAGAGCGAGTCCATCTGAACAAGGAAAACGAGGGAGCCAGGATGTGCGGCACTTCTCCTGTCGTCTCTGTGCAGAGACAAGATGGACAGCCCAGCCAGTCTGGAGCTAAGCGTCTGGGCCACGTCTCTCTGGAAAGAGAGGCCAGATGGGTGACTTCCTATTGTTCCCCAATTCTCTTATTACTTCCCATTTCCCGCACTCTTGCTGCCCTGGCTGGTAGCTCCTAATGTGTTAGTACTGGAGCACTTAATCTTTCCAGGAGCCATGTAACAGGGGGCTCAGGATAAAGTACCATCACTAACAAGGACTCAGCTTTCTTGAGCAATAACCACACTCCATACACTGCTAAGTTGTTTGTATTTACCGTCTCATCTAACTTTTCCATCTTGAGAGGAACGACCTATGGCTACCACATCCTAGTGAAGAGGAAACAGGGGCACTTCCAACAGATAAGGTAGTAGAGGATAGATACAAAGTTTGCCCTCAGTGCCGTCGAGGAGGCCGTTCCACTGTGTGCTGCCTCCTCGCACCTTCTTCTCAGAGGTGTTTGCCTAAGAGGGTCACTAAACACAACCAAGGGACCAGGGAGCAAAACAAAGTGTGACAGAACTCTAGCTCCGTCACTGGCATTTAGCAAGAGCTTCACAGTCACCTTCTCCATCTGCAGATTGGAAATAATGAACTCACAGATACCTGCCCATTACACAGGTATACATTATTATATCTCATCACTTCACATAGCAATCAACAAACCCTCGTATAGTTACCATGCCCCCCCTCCCCCCTTTCGCCCCCCTCTCCCCCATAGAAAGCAGTGGGGTCAAGCTAAGTCCACAGCAGGGAAATTCAAGAAAGTGTTCTGACTGAATAGCCAGTCAATGCCTCTTGGGGGTAAACAGAGGTCTACCTGTCATTTGTGACCGAATTCTAAGCACAAAGGGAAATACGCCTTTGCTCTAATCTGGGAAGTTTGGGGTTCACCTACCCAACAGTATCACATCTCAAAGACAGGATAACGTCAGCAACCACAGAGGCACTCATGTGACTATGACATGGCAGGAGGTTATGGAAGCCACCTGAACCGCTACAGTGGCAGTGACCCGCCTTTTGTGTTGAGCTAAGATTTTTTTTTCAACTTCATTCTTGTAGCTATTACACCTGATTATTAGAAAACAGTGTCTAAGCTCCACGCTTCCCTTTAATGGATATCTATTAAATACCTACTCTGCCAGATCTATGATTCAGTGGACATGGAAGTCACGATTATCGGGCTAGACATATTGCTCAGTTGGTAAAATATTTGCTACGCAAGTGTGAGGACCCATATTTGATTCTCAGCACCTATGTGGAAGGTTGGGCATGGTGGCACACACTTATCCCAGCAGAGATAAGAGACAGGCAGGTCCCTAGGGCTCACTGGCCAGTCAGTCTAGCAGGAGCATTGAGTCTTGGGTCCCAGTGACTCTGATTCACAAAACTAAGTAGGTGGCTCCTGGAGCGGCACCCAGGGTTGGTCTCTGGCCTGTGTATACACACACGCACACGCGCCCGCGCACATGCACATGCACACACTCATACACGGGAAGTAAATAAATAAGGTGGACAACGTCTGAGAAAGGACACCAAGGTTAACCTTTGAGCTTCACACACCTCAGCACTTATATGCATATATACCCGCATAGACACACACACACACAAAAAGACAGATTAAAAAGAAATCACGATTCCTGTCATCAGAGTGTTCCTGTGGTCAACAATGACCTCAAGGTGGTGGCCCTGAACGAATAGAAAGCAAAGATGACTAAATGACTTAAGACACTTGCTCTCCGTGAACCGGGGCAAAATTGGGATAAGCTTCTCCACAAAACTCAACCTGTGTTTGTCCCCAATACTTCTTTTTAAAATTGAAAATAGGTATTTTTACATACAATATATTCTAATCACGATTTCCCCTCTCTCTGACTCTTGCCTCTGAAAGCATCTATCTCCTTGGACCAGGTACCCAGGAAAGGCATGGTTTTCAGAGTCCCTCCATCCTGCATCGTAGTCCTGGGGCAGGACCCAGAACCAGCATCACGAGGATGGTTTCTGGGGAAACACATAGGTTCACTGATCGCAGGACGGTTATCTAGGTCCGGAGCTTGAGAGGTCGCTGCTTGTACCTCACCTGTGTCCTCTGCAGGTGCATCCAATAGAGTAGCACTGTGGGCAGTATTCCTGCAGGAAGCCCACTGGGACGAATCAGTCACACAGGATGAGCAGCGGCGGCGGGCTTGAGGGTTGGAGAGTGGCAGAGGGGACGATGGAGGAGAGGGCTGTCGCCTTGGAGGAAATGCAAGAGAACTGGCGGAGTCAGGAGTCAGGCAGGTTCTGCTTACCTCTCCCTTCTCAGGTGCTTCCTTATATGGGTACAGCAGGTACCGCAGCCCCACCTTAGTTAAACAGTAATTCCAGCCTTGGCCCCGGAGAGACAGAGACGGACACACAGAGAGAGGTGAATATGCTTTCAACAGTGAGATCTCCAGATCCCCCGCTCCAGTCACCTCCACCCCCGGCCACGACTCACTTTGGACACATTAGCTGCTGATTTCTCACCTGCCTTCCTTGGATTTTCCTGGTTTTCAGGTATTTCCACGGCTTCATCTTTGTTTCTGGGACCTGGCGATTTTACAAAACCAGGGAGGCAGCTCTTCACGCCTCATCCTCATCCCGGAAGCTCAAGTATCTTGTCTTCCCTGCCAGGCGTGGTCACTCAGAGCAAGTCACATCCCATGTCCCTTCGGCCGAAGAACACATTTTCTTTTTAAAAATAAATTTCAGAATACATTAACCCCTGGGCATGGTGAGGCCCGCAAAATGGACTCCGCATCATCTCTGCCTAATGGAGTGTGGGGAAATAGATGGAGCCTGTGAAGCCCATGCCTCCTGGTTGAAGAACCCTGACACTGTGGTTCAGCCTGGGTTATAGGAAGTGATGGAAAAAATGGGCAAAGCAGGACAAATGTGGAAATCACTAGAAACTAACACGAACAGTCTGTTCCCAAACTGAGAGGGGTGGGAAGACAGGAGACTGAGAACATGGAAGACTCTGACCACTTGGGAGATGTGGCTTATACCGCCCATGGAGACAGGGTAGTGGGTGGGTAAGCTGGAAGGGGAGGTCCCTGGCTTGACTGAGAGTGAGTTTTAATCCATCTCTACAAGCTCTATCACATCCAGGGAAGACTCTTCCTTTAAGTCTTCATTTACCAACCTGTGAAATGGGCCTTGTTTGTTTATTGACAGACTATTAGAACTTGCACTATCAACACAACAAACAGCACACTTCCTATAACTATGAATAAATATGCATAAATGTGCATGTTTGTGGTGCGTGCCCCAAATACTTCTACTGATTGAATATGTAGTCAAAAACATTTGAAAGCCCTCGTATCAGAAAAAATAAAAAATCGTGAGAAAATACTTTAGAAAGCCCCACAAACACAATCCTAAATTAAGATCGTGCCTCTAGGAAAATAATTGGGCTTTTTTTTTTTTTTTTCCTGCCTTACTGATGATGGCTTTGTCTTCTCTCATCTCATGAAATATTTTTTTTTCCCCTAAAAGCAAGAGTCCTTGTTCCCTACAGGAGTCACTGGAGGACTGAGTTCAGAGGGAAATGTCTCCTGATGGAGTGTTCGATGCCAGCAGATAAGTCCCTCTCACTGACAGTTGGGTTGTAAGAATAAAGAACGGCAGCAGTGAGGGGGCCGTTTGCTGATTTCTTAGTATTCTCCTTTCCCTTTCCTGTATGCTCCCTAGCAGCCAGCTCCCGGTGATCTGTGTTTCTAGAGAATTCTATCCTGAAACTATAAAGTAGATGACACTTCACCATAAAATCTTAACTGGACTTCCTGCTCCGGGGGAATGTGGCAGGCTCCTCACTTCACACCCGCTGTGCAACGTGGCCCATTGGTCCCCAAATGGGAGGCACAAAGGCCACCTGCTTCCTGTAAGTGGCGGCAACGGTGTCATGGAGGCCTGTCACAATTTGTGGTGGAACAGCCACACAGATCCTGTGGCGGCCCAAGCCTAGACTTCTGGGGTTATTTCCCCCGGGCCGATCCTGGATGACGAAGGTATGTTTTCCACAGCCTGTGGCAACACCCACCTTCTCCCTACAGTGGCTTGGCTGTCTCTGCCATGGCTGCTCCCACGCTTGTGCTTGTGACATCTCTTGCTCCATGTCCTGTAGAAGCAACAGAGGGCAGGTTTTGTTTTTTTGTTTTGTCTTTTTTTTTTTTTCTAGTATTTGGAGCCAGGAGAAAACCAGAGACGGACTGAGATTAGGAGCTACACTCTGTACTTAGCCCAGGCTACAGTCCTTGGGTCAGGTTACCTTCCCAAGAAAAGACTGCTTTCCCAAGAGCATCCTTACTTACCCATGCAAAAAAACAACCCAGCCTCCAGCCAGGTCTCAGCATGCCTACACTTGAGTGTAAGAGGCATAGCCTTTCTTAGCTCCCTCTCCTGGCTTCTCCTTATCTTCGTCCTCTAGCCCTGCATTGGACTTTCCCTCTATGCCCCTTTATCATATTTTAATGAGAAAGATATACATAACTGACAGCCACGGGACTGTCATATAGTGTGTCATATAGCCATATAGTGTGACTTGATATGAGTGCTGTGATAGACACTAGCACCTTCAGTGAGGTTCCCAAACAGGGAAGACTCCTTGAGCTAGGAGTCCTGGGAGGTCTCTCTCTTGAGTGGAGGAGGCCGGAGAGCTGCTGGAGAGATGGGCGTAGTGAAGTATGTGCAGACTTAGCAGGGCGGTCAGAAAGAAAAAAATCCTGCGCCCACTTGGTGACTTTTCTCCATATGAAGCCCAGAATACCAGCATCCAGGTTAGGAAATGGTACTATGGGGACTGGGCATGGCGATGCACACCTTTAATCCCAGTCAGTATGTGGAAGGGCAGAGGTGGGTGGATCTCTGTGAGTTTAAGACTGGTCTGGTCTACATAGCTAGTTCCAGGACAGCCAGAACTATATAACAGAGAGATAAATAAATAAATAAATAAATGAATGAATGAATGAATGAATGAATGAATGAAGGAAGGAAGGAAGGAAGGAAGGAAGGAAAGAAAGAAAGAAAGAAAGAAAGAAAGAAAGAAAGAAAGAAAGAAAAGAGAGAGAGAAGAGAGGAAAGGAGAGGAGAGGAGAGGAGAGGAGAGGAGAGGAGAGAAGAGAAGAGAAGAGAAGAGAAGAGAAGAAAAGAAAAGAAAAGAAAAACGAAAAGAAAAAAGAGAGAATGAGCATTGTAGGTACCCAGAAGTCTGCTGGGCAGACTGATTCTTCAGGGCACCCCAAGATAAAATGCTCTTGGTCTGGTTGGTTCTGATAAGCCCTATTCTGTTTTCCTTAATAAGAAAACAACAATGTTGATTTAGGGGATTAAAAAATGTCTATGCAAAAGTATGACAAAGGGCACCATTTGACAGGGTAAACAGGTTTCCAGAGCACTTGCCACACAGCTAACAGGATCATCTAACAGACTTCATGTGGGTAGAAATGACAAAGTAAAAAAAAAAAAAAAAAAAAGAAGTGAGCTGATTTTTGTTAGTGCAGAAACATGTGAAGAGACAGAACTCAGCCTGCTGCATTTACGGCAGACCCAAGCCAGGCCCAGGTCTGTTCCACTCTGATATCTTACCATGCCTTGCAGGACAGGACCCCATCAACAACCAAGAGTCTCATTTGCATGTCCAGGGGAGCAGAAATGAGAGTGTGCACAAATGGGGGGGGGGGGGGCCGGAAGCACCTGGGACCGAAGGATCCAGAGGCAGTTTTCAAATGGCCTGACGGCTCTTCCTTCCTTAGTTTCTTTCTTTCTACAGGCATCTATATAGAATTTAGAAAATCCCAGCATTCCAGTTGGCAGCTACACTTGAGACACGCCATCTCAGGATTCACACCAAATCGCTCTGGCTTGGAGCCTTCTCTCTGTAAAGACATCCTCCATGTTTCTGGTGAGTCCCGGGGTGTCTTCTGGGTCTCCACAGAGCATCTTCTCTTACCTCTGGGGGACTAGAGAAGACCCGCTTTGCCCCGAGTGAAGGTCTCTGAACCACTTACTGTCTCTAGCCCTAGTTCCTCCTCTTCCAGATGGCTTCTGAACTTTCTTCCCTACAATCACTGCTGCAATGATATGCCTGTGGGGGTGTAGGGTGTAAAAAGCTCTCAACCTTCTAGCTAGAACTTGCTCCCAATATTAGCACCCTTTTTCGGAGCCTCTTACATACATGCATCCTTTCTTCGACAATTTTTAAACAAACTTCAGATTAAATACTGTTCTATATCCCACCCTTCCCACTTAAAACTCAATCACAGACATGCTTTGATGCCACTGTCTAATCTGGTCCTCATACAAATGCCTCTTCCTCTCCAATGACGGACAAAGTGACACTTGAGATATTAAACATACCTCCCTCCCCACGAGCATCCTCCATAAAACCTATCTCCTCTCTCCCCAAAACTCATCCTTGGGCATTGGTTTTTACACGCTTCAAGCTTCCTGGCTCACATTTGGTGACACTAACTCACCTTGCATTTCTGAACATTTAAATCATTTCTGAATTTTATCCACTACAAATCCGCTTGCATAACTCTTCCTAAATGGTGTTGATGGATTTCTTATGCTAAACTCCTAAAAGTGAAAGAGTTATGAACACTATAAATGGTTTTGATTTCTTTTTAAAATTAAATTTGTGTGTGTGTGTGTGTGTGTGTGTGTGTGTGTGTGTGTGTGTGTGTGTTTACATAGTATAATGCATGTGTGGAGGTCAGAGAAACCCTTTAAGAGTTTTTTTTCTCTCTTTCTACCATGACAGCTCAAGGCAGCAAGTCCTTTTCCCCACTGAGCCCTATCACTGACCCAAGATTTTGGTTTCTATAGCCTTCAAAAGACTATACCCTTCTAGCACTGCACAAGGGCCATTCTTTTATCCTTAGGGTTTTTCTGATGTAGCTCTGTATGTGTGGTGTATCCACACATACATATTCATGTTTCGTGAGTATGGGCAATGTGTGTGTGCAGGTGCACATACACGTATGTGTGTATGTGTGGTGTGTGTCCCTGAAGTTGATATTGGGGCTCTTCATCAACAGCTCTCCACTTTGTTCATTGAGGCAGGGTCTCTAAGTTGAACTCAAGAGTTTGCCAATGTGGCTATAGTAACCTACCGGCTTGCTCTGGGGATCCCTGTAAACACTCATCTGGTATTTACATTTATGTGGATAATTTTAATTGGGGAATCTTAATTCCTGTCCTCCTGCTTGTATGGCACCTGATTTACCCACTGAAGCATTTCTTCACCCCCACTTGGGGTATTTTGACATTATAAATTGTACTTGCACTGGTTTCCCCAGGGAGGGAAGATGAGGCCCTAGATAGTGGAGAGAGAAATGAACTACAACATAGGAAGGAAGCTTCTAGTGCTCATACAGCCAACACCCCTTCTTCAGTCTCATCTCCTTCATGCTCCATGACCAGTTCCCAGCATGTCATCTCCTCCTTGCTCCATGGCCAGTTCCCAGCATGTCATCTCCTTCATGCTCCATGGCCAATTCCCAGCATGTATTCTCCTTCATGCTCCATGGCCAGTTCCCAGCCATGTCATCTCCTTCATGCTCCATGGCCAATTCCCAGCATGTCATCTCCTCCATGCTCCTTGGCCAATTCCCAGCATGTCATCTCCTCCATGCTCCATGGCCAATTCCCAGCATGTCATCTCCTCCATGCTCCTTGGCCAATTCCCAGCATGTCATCTCCTCCATGCTCCATGGCCAGTTCCCAGCCATCATGGCCAGTTCCCGGCCATGGGAGGCCTTGTCAATCCCTGGGAGAGTCTTGTATTTCCATGTTCACACGGCTTTTGTTATGTAGAGCCTCTGTAGAAAATTTGTCACCGTACCTCCCCTGCCCAGCCTAGCCCAGATCAGCTTTCAAAGCACTGTCCAAACATTATGTCTCTTCTTAACCACCCATCAGGAGCAAATATTCAGTAAATATTAGCCATTGCTACTACTGTTATTACTTCTTCATGGTATTCTATGTAGGAGTCTTGGCTAAATATTTCCTATGGCATATATCATTTCATTTAATCTTCCTACCCCGATGAGAGAGGTGCTATTGCCCTCATTTTACACACACACATACACCACTGTCCATTTTAAAGGTTAAGTCATTTACTCAAGATCACACAGCTGTAAATAGTCAATCGTGATTTGAATTCAATCCACTTCTACTTCAAAGACTGTAGGATCCTACCCTCCAGCCTCCTCTCACCTCCCTGTACCACGCAAGCATCTGCTCTCTCACATAGGCTACTAGGCACTTGTTCATTTCCCAACTAGTCTATAGTTACTTACAAGGCATGGATAATATATCTTCCAGATCTCAAACTCCTAGCAGATCCATGGCCTACAGTAGGTACACAATAAATCTGTGTGGCACGGAGTGCAGTTCCTAAATCAAGTGCCCTCTTCGGGTGTTGGTGAGGTAGACCATTCATTTATCTTGGTCTGTAACAATGATTTCACCTAGGCAAAGGAAGTGTGAGTTGCCGTTCTTAGTAGAGTCCAGAAGTGACGTGGAAACCAAGGAAGTACTACCTGAGGGCAGAGGGAGAGGGTAGCTGATCTCCAGAATGATGGAGCCAATGGAACCTCATATTCTCCATGAAGTACAGGCATTGCCATGCTCTTAGACTGAGAGCATACCACAGGTAAGATTTTCCATAAATGGTAAATCTGATATTATGCTTAATAGGAAGTTGTAAGTACTCAAGTTTTCAAGTCATTCTCTCTTGGCCTTGATACACATCTGTGGGAGCTGGGACAAGTTTGTTAACTCTGAGCCTGTGTCCTCGTCAGGTCTGATGGAACCACTAGAGCCAAAAGTGAGTAAAGTGGAGGCTAGCTCCTCCTACATACAATGGCTGCTCTTTAGCAAAAGATTTAGTATCAGGAGGGTGGAAATTTGGAGAACCGGGTTAGTACCGAAGCTGGGACTCCTAGTGTGGAAATCAAGATCACTCCTGGGAAGAGTGAAAGTGATAACGCAGGACAAGGAAGTAGGCCCTGACAATGACCAGAGTAGGAAAGTCCTGAGTGAAAAAGGGGGCACACTTTGAGAATAAATAAGTCAGTATGTGCTAAGAATTTCCTGAAGAGCTTGTATTAACAC